AGGGGGGGGGGGGGGTCACAAGTTTAAAAAAGGGAGTCTATGAAAGCTGCCAGACACAAAGTCACATTGGGTGTTCCAGGTCAAGGCTCTTTATCAACTCATACTCTCAGTTTGTGCGTGTGTGTGTGTGTGTGTGTTTGTGTTGAAGAAGGTTGTGTACCCATTCTTTCTGTCCATCTTGATTCATGTTTCCATCTGCTTCTCTTCCCTCACGCTGAAGGTGTTTGGCTTGATCACACACAACGAAGAGTTTGCCCCCAGCGAGCAGCCTCGCCTGAGCTGGCGTCGAATCTACCAGTTCCTGTCCGACGTCCTTGAGGACAAGGCTGAGCTACAGGAGCTGTCTGACGTCGGTGGGTGCTCATGTTGTTTGTTTGTTGGTTTGTTGGTTTGTTTCTGGAAACTTGTAAATTCTTTGCCATATCGACAGGCCGAAGGGCTAGAACTCAAATGGCCGCTGGACTGAAAAAGTAAAGTAAAGTAAGTTTATTTCTGGAGTTGGTGTTTACTGCAACCTGTCTCGTAAATAACTGCAGGCCTGTCAAATACTCGGTTAAAATGGGAGCTATCCAGTTTACTTTTGCCCGTCAAAGAACCCGATTCGGATTTGCATAAAATCCCTTTTTTTTCTTGAATTCCATTTCAAATGGTCATCCACAATTTATTGTACATGATGTCAAAATACATGGGTTTACTTGTATTTATTTGCATCATTTATGTTTACTCACTGAATAAATCTATATAATCTATGTTTACTCACGTGTAAAGCTAGAGATAGTCTGTGTTTACTCACTCTGTAAAACTAAATTGTCTATGCTTACTCATTTTTGCTGTGACGGCAACAGTGTAACCAACCCCTCCCCCTCACACCCTCTCCCCACAGAATCTCACGTGGTGTTGGACATGATGCACGGTGTGGGCGACACACTACACAGTTCTGACACGCGCGTCCACCAGCGTCTGCTCACCACAAAGTACAAATTTCTCAACACCAAACTGACGGAACTGTCGGAGCCGGCCAGACGGAGGCGCTACAGTCTGGTCCACCGCGGGCTGCACAACGGTATGTTGAGCCTTTCCTTGCCAGGAGGTTTTTGTTCCTACGGTCGCCACTGATTCTCTGCTGAGCTCATTACCCAAGACAGCAGCCTAATGTCTCAGTGTTACAGGACAGTATAGATCTAGCACACTCGTGACGTATAAATCAGATTGTTTCTCTTTTCTCACGTCTCTCATTCCCTAGTGCCCCCCACCCCTTCCCATCTTACTCATAGTTTTGAATAACTTGCAAACCTAAGTTAAAAAGGGATTTTTTCCCCCCTTTTTAAAGCCATTTTGGTGTTTAAGTTTTAAGAGAGCACGCAGCCGCCCGCAAACCTAGATCTGTGTTTATCGATCACTTGCAAGCCTTGCAGTAAAATAATACTAGCAAATTAGGTACCGATATGCTTGTCTTTTATTCCCAAAACCAAATCCACACAGTGCTTGTTGCTAAAACTCTGTACAGAAGAATTAGGGCCTGGAGATTAGTGGTCCATACATTATAACATCATAGCGGGAACCAAGAGCTGCTGATTTGGCCAACTTTCGTGACGTTCATGGTAACGCACAAAGCTAAAAATTACACATTTTCACGACATATCAAATACGTCATATGACAATGAAGGGGTTAGAAGATGTTCCTGTCTATTTACATGTCTTACTTTTTCCCATCATTAGATCACTGTTATTGTCAACACTGGAAATTGAGGAAATTTCGAAGATAACAAATAGACACTTTTTTTGTGAACTGCGTTATGAAATGTTTTCAATAATTAATGACGACTTCTTTTTATTGATCTGATAGGGCAAATATTTTAAATAATAAATTATGCCTTTTTTAAATTAAGAATCCAGGTAGGAAAATTTAGGTTACAATGGCTAGGAAAGTGCAAGATAATATTATGTAGAATAATTCCTCAATGTGACATAGGGGCACCACTGGTCTCCTGTTGCACGTTGAGTCTTTGTGTGTGCCAGCAGAGAGCAAAGTCATCTTTTTGTTAACTCCTCCTCTCCTCCCTGTTGCAGACTTTGACTATCTGGAAGAACCGAGCGAGGTATCTGACCCGACTGAACCACCGACCTCATGTCAAGAAAATGACGACGTCACAGATGTATCGGCCGCCGCCATCGGGAACACTGAATGCTCGCCTGCGGGTTATGTGACTTCTACGTCTGTATCAACGTGCGCCTCTGCTGAAACTAGTTCCTCCTCTGCACAGCAGTCTGCTCTGACTTCCTCTTCGCCGCCTGCCCCTACTCCAGGACATAGCGGACACAGGGAGGAATCGCCTCCCCTTACGGCTGAGTCGCCATCGTTAGCTCCAGGGGTTGCTACGGGTGATTGTCGAGACGCTTCTTCTTCTTCTTCCGCCAACCACTCGTCCTGCGGTGTTTCTACGACCACGAAGGAGTTCGTCAAATCCAAGTTGTTCACTCTGAATCCTCTGTGCATCCCAACTTCTCTGCTGCCGCTGAAGCCTAATATAGACTCTGTCTGATTTTTTAGTTTCGCAAGTTGGGGGGGGGGATTCTCTCTGATTTTTGAGTCTCGGGGACTGGGGGGGGGGGGTTGATTTAGTTAACTTGTCTTTCTTTCTTTCTTGCTGGATATTTTTGTGGCTGTGTGTGTTTCTGTCTGGCTAACCACTTGTGGTGATATTATCAGTGCTTCCACTCTTCCGTATTTTTACGGAAATCCGTACTTTCTGCCAGTTCCGTACTTGTCCCTCCATCGTTATCAACTCCCTCCGTTAAAAAAAGTGCAACAGCGCAGGACTGCCAAAATTCCGTACTCGCCTTCGTATCGTCTTGTATAAGTTACGGATATTTACGGTAATCTAATTCTCTCGGCAACAAGTTAACGTAGAAACCTGCCAAATTGCGCATTTCCTGCAATCGGACATTATACCGCTATGTCCTAGTCCCATGCATTCATTGCGTGTTGGTCGGTAGTACATTTTTTACCTGCTGATGGATCAAAATCTGGCGAACCTTTTGTGCCAACTTCCTCCTTTCTGTCATTCACTCATTCCTTCTGTCTATCTTCGGATTGGAACCGCGGCTGGAAAATCTGCACGTTGATCAAGACTGATTTTGATCTTAGACAGAAAATTACTGTAGGAAAGAAACTTTTTTCGCAAATTTTATCTAGATCTAGAGAAATTATCAATGCGAAGATTCTACGGCACGTGAACGCAATATAAGGGCCGCGATGACAGAATATGCTGATACGGTCGTGCCCACTACGGATGGGATCGGCCGATTGCGCTGATCACCCGACTCGGTCGAACAAACGTGTTTGCTTTGAAACTGAAAACAAACACGTTTGTTTTTGAGGCGATCGAGTTGTTTTCCTTCGTTCTTGTTCCTGTTGGGGGGTTGTTGTTTTTGTGTGTTTCTATTTCCGGTTTACCACTTCTCATAAAACTGCTTAATAGTGTCTGTGGCATAATTGTTAGGCTTTCCACTGTAGTGGGCAAAAGACATGAGTTCGATGCCTGCATAAGGAAGTATATATATACTTATATGTTTGTTGAGTATCTCCGACTTGCTGCAGGGACACTTTAGTGCAGCTCGGTCAGTCGGGGGTGGCCTATACAGTCGAGTCATTGTCAAACGTGATAAATCCGTTGGCTGTCATCATCACAACAAAATATGTTATGTTTTGGTAATAATAATGAAGTAACCATAACTACACAGTTTTTCACTTTTGGTCAATAGTGACCATAACAATACAGTGTGTCATATTTCGGTCATGAAGTAACCATAACGACACAATTTAAATTTGTCACTTTTGGTCTATGGTAACTAAACAGCAAGAGAAAATGTCATGTTTTGGTCACAGAAGTTGAGAGTTTGGCTTGTGATGAGTGTTGATGGACTGTGGTAACCCTGATTCACTACCATCATTTTGTAGTTGATTTCTACTCTTTGAATGTGTGCTTGTGTGTGGGTGTGACACCCTCCTCATGTTTGCTACTGTGTTCTACACTCTATTTCGTTGAACTGTGAGTGCATGGAAATGATTCTGTTTTGCAAGTTGGATGTTCTGAACTCCTTTAATCAAGAGATTAAAAGGAAGAATAAACTTCTCAGTGAGAACTGGAATTGGATTTGTATTTCCCCTTATTTATGAGAGCATGCGCAATGTGAGAGACATCACCCACGCCCTGAAAGTTAAAGTAAGGACAGTCTTGACAGGGGGGGATAGAAACTTTCTCCTGGCTGTCTATGTCCTTGATTGTAAGACATCGACAGGAGAGTCAGGGGCTGAACAAAGCGTTGTTTACTGCTGCAGCTGTCGAAGAATCGAACCCGACTAGTCAACATTCAGCTCTTTCAACACATGAAAACTATCATGTCTTAAGTGGCATTGCTACTTCTTTACTCTTCCTCTTCTTTTTTCTATCTTTGTGTGGTGATGTTTCCCAGCAAGTCCACCTGCGATGGTTCATATCGCCTCTACTGGCACCTGTAAAGCAACAAACTGAGCTTGATTCTTGAGTGAAAGTTTTTCATGGTGGGTGGTTGGTGAGTGCTCTGGTGTGGTTTGCTCTTTCTTTTCTGTCAAACATCTATCAATCCTCCTTTTCTGTCCTCCTTTTTTGTGTTTGTAACTCTCTTGTAACACGTCTAATCCTCCGCACCTACTTGACCTCATTGTGTTGCAAGTGCTGTAAGTTACAGTGTAAGTTATAGTGTAAGTTGCTGTAACACTCTTACCAGGACTAGTACTAGTAAAACAAACAAAATTTTCACGGAGCCCCCCCTGCCTCCTGGGATGCATCCTGTGTTGCCTTGATTGGCCCGGACAAACAGTCAACAGAGCATCCAGCCCCCTATACATGTACCTGTGTGCAGTCTGAAGTGTGTCCGGAGAGGTAAAACATAACCTACTACTAAACTACTACTACATCCCACCGGTCCGTCAGTGTGGAGGCGGACCCCATATCTAGAGGGATTGGGTTAGGAGTCTGCTTCCACTCAGGATCTGACCCTCTGTCACCTGTCAATGTGTGGTACGTCACATACTGCACGCACAGCGTGGTTTGTAGAAGACTGTCACAGTCACAGCAAAGACACGTGCATCCACACAGTGTGACACAGTAACGGCCGGTGAGTGCAGGGAAAAAAGACACAAACGGAAACAAAGGGGAAGGGGGGTGGGGGGGGGGGGGGGGGGCGGAGAAAAAAACTAGTAGGACCTGTGCCAACAGTGATGCTCTTCAACCATCCTCGTGCTGCAAAAGAGGTGAACGGAAAACAAAGTAAGTGAGGAGAAAAGGTGCGAATGAGTCAGGAATCTGAGCTCTCTGTTGCTGCGGTCAGGCAGGAAGGAGGACACACATTTTGTCGCCATCATTCATACACCATTGTCGTGTTTCAGAGTACGGTGTTTTCTGCAGGAGAACAAAAATATTATTATACCACTCTGGACATTAATGGTATCGTGATAAAAATGTTTAATTCGTTTCACTCGCTAACTGAGACTACTAAGAGGAGGAATGAGACCAGGACCAATCAATGCATCTCATGAAACTCTACTACATAGTACAACATACTTTAACAGTTTTTTAAAATGTAGTTTTCACAAATTGAAGTGTTAAATGACGGCAATGATATATATATATATATTGGTCTTTTCCCTTCACCCATCTGTTAAAAGTCTCGAGACAACATGAACTTATAATCTACTTCTACCCCTTTTGCCGTTAATTTTTCTATTGAGAGTAAGATGTTGGAGTTCAAAGCTTTCATATTGTGTCAATTCAAATGCCCCGGGAACAACATTAATTGCATATATATATAGTCTACAGGTACATCTGCACTTCCGAATTGTTCTCATTATTGTGTTTATCATACGAAGGCTTTCTTTAGCACAACCTTATTTGACTTCTTTTCATTCCTTGAAATTCTCAACAGTCTATTGAGAAACTCACGATTCTGCAGTCTCTGGTTTATGTTCCCTATCTTTAATTATACAATTTGTTTTTTATTCGTTGACCTCGTCATAATTCAGAACCCATTATTGAGAAACTAAAAGCCGAAACGATCGAAAGGAGATACAGTGGGAATGAGAGCATGCCACTTTCACTTCCGGTGGCGGTTGTTCACAACCATAACATTCTGATAATTCCTCACTGCATTTTACTGCATTCGCCTCAGCGAGAAGTGGAACAGAGCTCAAAATGACGAAGTAATAATATTGAACATATGTGTATTCATTGTTTTACGAGAATTGAATGTTGTGTTCAGATTTAGCTCAAGGGCTTGGTGAATTGTGAGGTGGTGCTCCCTTGCCTTCCTTGTTCTTGTCAAGTTCATGGACATGACAGCACCCATTAGCAATGCCAATGAAAATTTAAATTTTCACTTTTGCCCCCTTTTTTTTGGTACCTAAGAAAGAATTTTCAATCCTAAGAATTAAGCTTCTTGAATTTTGAGAAACGGTTCATAAATAAAAAAGTTATGGGGTTGTAAAGGTCGGCAAAATATGGATGACCCACATATAGGAAAATACTCCTAAAAAGTGGACCACGCAGTAGCAGATTCTGTAAGAAAATCGACGATATCTCGGTAACTAATCCAAATGTTCGCGAGAAACTTGGCTACCCGATGTGTTTTTGAGTGTAGAAATCATTTCTGCAGTCAGATTTACTACCAATTTCGTAGTTATTTTGTTATAATTAAAATTGTGGTGTGCATATTACGATTTTGCGAAAAAGGGGTGTCGGGATGAGTCCATTTTATTTATAGCATCGTATCACAACATGGGATCTTTAAGAATATATGTCGGCAGCGTGACTAAATAATTGCAAAGATTTTTATGATGACTTTAGACCATGCCAACCGTAAAAGATAAGTTAATTCAATCTAGCATGCCGTACAATTAAAAATTCTTTTTCCCCGTTGAGACGCGAACACCCCGAGACGAGATAACCTCGCCTCGGAATACCCCCATTGCGATGTTACAGGGGAATAGAGAGAAAAACAACCGGATGCGCGCGCCCGCCATTGCCCTATTTCAAGTGACCAATGAACGGGCCCGGAATAGTCATGCGGGGATTTGTAGGTCACAGACATTTGCCACGGGAGTGAGGGGAAAATGGCCGGTCTCCGTGCGAAGCCGCTTTGGATAGGGGGGTAGTCGTAGATTTACGATCGGGTCTAAACAACTACTTGACACAGAACTCTCAAATTTGAGCACACTATAGAGGATAGATAGATCTATTACCATCTGGGCGTTGAAATTCAAACTCCTTATAGTTTTCGGTGTACACGATACGAAAGTGTTCCCGACACCAAAAGTATAGGTTAATTTATGTGTACGAACTTCAACGTCCACATATCATTAGTTTGCCCTATTTTCTGATTGGTAGCCGAGTTTCATTCGGATTGGTTCGGAAATAGAGCAGACCGAGGTTGACAAAGTTAGTCACCTACGCTTCGGCCGGGTCCGCAAAATCGCCCGTAAACGGGGACCAAATTTTCGCCTCGCGGGAAAGCCCGATTGGCATTGCTACACCCATGATGGACCCAACCTATCATGATGATTATGACATT